ATGAAGGAGGGGGAGTTAAAGGAGGGGGAGGGTAAGCCTGCTGAGGGGGCGGCGGCGGCGGCACCACCGGCGAAGGTGTCGTTGAAGTTTGGGGTTAAGCCACCGGCGGCGAAGAATGTGTTCAGGAACGCGCTTGCTGGGGCGCCCAAGAAGGTCATGGTTGCGCAGCCGAAGAAGATGAGTGCTGGGGAGAGGATCATGATGGAGGAGCTTGAGAGGAAGAGAGCGCGGGAGTCGAGGGGCAGTGGCGGTGATGCTCCTAGTAAAAGGCCGCGGTTTTAAGGCTTGGGGAGCGGATTTGTACAGTTTATGTCATGAATGGGCGGTCTGTTAGGTTTGATGTCATAGCGATCATGGGAATGGCGTTTGGGTGGTGATTTTGTTAGGGAGAATGATACCAGAGTTTGTTGCTTGCACTTGATGAAGACGATGACTTGATTTGGGGCTGTATGCGGATGGTATGAATATAAATATTCTTGTAGGCTATTGAGCCTGTGGAACTTCGAATTACCTGTGAATTTCTTGTATCCTGCTCCGTTGAACTGATGGCTGTTGCCATACTGCTATAAAGAACATAGCCATCCGCGAAAAGTGGGTCTATGTACGGTGTAAACAGTTACCACCATACTTTCCACCCGTTTTTGTTAGTGCAGCACGTCGCTTGCTCTCCAACATTTTTTTCCAACTGGTCAACGACAAGGCATCAATCAAGGTTCGCCTTCTATCGCGAAATCTCATCAACCACCCAACACGGCACCGACACTACACACCGTCAAACAATCTAAACGAGCGACACAGAATCTCACTGCCTGACTCAGTTATTCTCATTCACGCTCATCACTCCTGCCGATACTTTGCAAACAAGCGTCACTCATAAACCACCATGTCATCCGTCAAACGCAAGCAGCCGCCTGCCACTCTCCTGCAGAGGCGGGTTCGCCCCAGGTATGAGCCGGAGCCTGAATCAGATGTCGAGGAGATGAGCGATGCGCCAAGTGAGGAGGGTGCCGGGTTTGACAGTGAAGACGAGGAGATGAGTGAGGCTGAGATGAGAAGCGGCAGCGATGAGGTTTGCAACTCGCCATATTTTCACTTTCAGAACAAAATGCTAACAAAATCTTCCCAGGAAAACTCCGAACTCGGCTCAGACCCCGAAGACGGCGAGGATGAATCGGAAGATGACACCCCCCAACCCACCCACCAGCTCTCCTTTGGCGCCCTCGCCAAAGCCCAAGCAGCCCTAGGCGACAAGCTCAACAAGCGCAAGCGCCGCTCCAGCAGCGCCGCTTCCGAAGCGTCCAGCTCTCGGGATAACAGCAACAACGACAACAAGTTTTCTCTTGAGAAGAATCACAAGAAACCCCTGGAAAAGCCCTCCCGCACAAGCAAACACGCCCCTGTCGAGTTGTCGTCAAAACGCCAGGTCTCCCGCCGCCGTGACTTCCTCCTCGACCCAACATCGACCAAACCCCAGCATCGCGACCCCCGCTTCTTTGCGCCCTCCACCATGTCGGCCACGTCGAAAATAGACGAGATCAAAGCCCGAAAAGCGTACGCTTTTTTGGATGAGTACCGCGAGAAGGAGATGCAGGAGCTTCGGGTGGCGATCAAGAAGAGCAAGAACGCGGAGGAGAAGGAGAAGCTGCAGAAGGCGTTGCTGTCGATGGAGAGCAAGAAGAAGGCGCAGGAGAGGAAGGACAAGGCGCAAAAGGTGCTGGATGAGCACAAGAAGAAGGAGAAGGAGCTGGTGAGGCAGGGGAAGAATCCTTTCTATCTGAAGAGGAGCGAGCAGAAGAAGAGGGTGGTGGTGGAGACGTTCAAGGGGATGAAGAAGGGGCAGGTGGATAGGGCGATTGAGAGGAGGAGGAAGAAGGTGGCGGGTAAGGAGAAGAAGTTGCTGCCTTGGGCTCGGAGGACGGTGGAGGATCGGTGATTTGTTTGGGGGGTTATGGGGCACGAGTTGGGAAGGGTAGAGGTTTGTAGGTGGTTGGAATGGTTGGTTGATAGTGACGGTGAGCGGGTCGTTTATTAGTCGGTTCGTTGGTCGTTACTATTAACATTCCAACTATAATATCATTAAGTCAGACATAGCTATAGTAAGCGCTAGGGCACGTTTACTTGTCTCGATGCCGGATGTAGTTGTGATTATTCGTGGAGGGGGTTGGTATGATAATGATCTCCTCTAGCAGACATGCTCTCCAGGTGTATTCTACCCAAGACACGACACAGCTTGCCTTGACGCTTTCTGCATGATTTAAACAACTCATCTTACACGATCTTACACATGTCCATCAGTCCTTCTTATACCCCGACTTTTCCAGAGCGTCCTGGAACAACTCCCTACACCTCACCCTGCTACCCAACCTCGCACACAGCAAAAACGCGCCCGACAGCTTCCGATGCAACGAATACGTCTCCTCGGGCGGCGGCGCCAACCGCTCATGTATCATGACCCCAATCTGCGCTTTTACTCTTTCCGTAATCGTCTGATCCCTAAAATCGTACACCTCCGGCGCCGTCTCCATGAACGGTTCCGCGAGCGTCATCACGCTCGTCAAGTGCGCCTCGAGCATCTGCTTGCTTTCATGACCAGTCAAGTACCCCAACTCCTCCGACAATTCCTTCACCGCATCTTTATCATTCCGTGACGAAGCCTCCAAAAGCTGGACATACAGCTTGATAAAAGAGTCAGGGTACTCCCTCGACGCCCCGAAGTCCAACAGCTCCAGCTTGTTTTCCTGGGGGTTGTACAAGAAATTCGTCCAGTTCGGGTCCGTCTGCATGAATTTGAACTCTGTGATTTCCCTGAGACACAACCTCAAGATCTGCGTCCCGATCCAATCTTTTTGTTCTTGCGTCAGGTTTGGTGCGATGCGCGTCACTCCGGTGCCAGACATCCACTCCATCGTCAGCACATGCCTCCCGCTCGCCTCGGGATAGATCCCCGGCACGGCAAACACCTCATCCGACAGCAGGTTCTGCCTGTATCTCTCCGCGCACTCCGCCTCCCGCTCATAATCACACTCCCACCCCAGCTCCAACCTCGCATTCTCGATCGTCTTATCCAAGTACAACCCCTTCGGGAGCAGCTTTGTCGCGGTCAGCAACACGGCAATGTTGTCCAAGTCAGAATTGATACTCTCCGCCACACCCGGGAACTGAATCTTGACTGCAACCCTCTCCCCAGACTGTTTCAACACCGCGCGGTGAACCTGCCCTATCGAGGCGGCTGCAATAGGTTTCTCGTCAAATTCACTGAATAGCTCCCTCCAGTTCTCTCCCAAGCTCTGACCGAGGACGCGGTCGCGCTGGTAGGAGGGCATGTAATCTGCTCTGTCTTGGACACGTTGCAAGACCTCTTGGATAGGGGGGGGTAGCATTTTTGCGTCCTGGAAGGACATCATCTGGCCTAGCTTGAGGGCTGCACCGCGCATGCGGGAGAGTTTGCTGACTAGGCGGGTCATGTTTGATGGGGAGAGCATTACGGAAGAAGAAGAGGAGGAGGAGGAGGAGCCGTTGAAGGTGCGGGAGACGGACTCGGTGACTGCGCCGGCAAGCATGCCTGCTGCTAGGCCGCCGTAGTTCCAGAGGCGGCCGAGGCGGGTGGAGGGGACTCGGGACTCGCGGAGTTCGTATTGTGCGGGTGGTGGTGGTGGTGGTGATGGGGGAGGGGGGGTGGTTTCTGCTGTGGCTTCTTTTTCGGGGGTTGAGAGGACCTCTTCCAGAGGCTCGGAGACGACTTCTTTGATGGGTTCCGAAACGGCTTCCTTCAAAGGCTTGGAGACGACTTCCTTTACTGGCTCTGCCACGACTTCTTTGGTCGGTTCGGATATCACGTCTTTCACCGCCGGCGCCGAGTCAACCTCCTTTGATGGCTGCTCTTCTTCTTTTTCAACCACCTTGTTTTCGGTTTTGCCAGCCTCAGCAACCTGGACGTACTCCCCTGCCGCTTCTTTGGTTTCGTCCTCCTTCGACTTCAAGGCCTCCAGGATTTTGGACCCCTTAGACGTGTGAAACAGAGAACTGACATCTACCTCTTCTGTCTCGTCAACTTTCAGAAGAGGGATGTCGATCTTCTGTTTTCCAATGCTGGGGAGGGAAGTTGGTGGTCTTCTGGGCGGGACAAACCCCTGCTTCAAAAGGGCGATGGAACCTTCTGCCCAGGGGGCTGGTTTGAATTCTTGGGTTGGGCGTTTCTTTTCTGGGGTAGGAGCGGGTTGTGTTGTCTCTTCCGGCGGCGGCGGCGGCGGTGGTGCTTCCTTGGGAATGGCACCCGACACCTCCTTTTCTTTTGGCGGCTCTGGCTGCTGGTGAGTTTCGGCTGGTGGTGGTGGTGTTGCTTTTTCCTCATCCCCCCTCTCCACATTTGGTGGTTCCTCTTTTTGACCTTGTGCTGCCTTCTGCCTCCCAAGAAGAGCATCCCTCAATATAGTCGACGTCTGCCCATACCTCTCCACCTGCCTCGCCCTCAGCGCGACATGCTTGGCCGCCACGCTTTTCGACGCACTGGCCACGGCGGCCAGGTCGACGAGGAGGTCCGCTAACCTCATTCTGCGCTGCAGTTAATCCCGCAATTCTCGATTGTGAAAAAAAGAAAAAAAAAGAAAGTCGTTATCGAGAGATATTGTGCTGCGATACACCTCTCATATTGTGAGGCTGGGTGAGTGATATCGTAGACTGTGTGGATGTTCCTAAACTCCGAATGGAGCTGGCCGGTTCGTGGGCACGGAGCCGAGGAAATTGGAAAGAGCCGCAAAAATTTGGGAGTGACGTTGATCCAGCCCCTGTCCCAAGCTGAGCCGGGGGCCCCTGCCTAGCGGCCGGTAGTGATCCGTGGACTCGGGACACAACCAGCCCCACTGTTTTTGGCGGGCGCGGGATGGCCACGCGCGTTTGGAACACCTCAAGAAAGGTACCATCATATATTCCGCAATACATTGTACATTCCCGACTACAAGCCACGTCGCTATCTAAAATGCTAGTACAAAACATTCAAATCAAATGGAAAACTCTAGGGTATCACAGGCCAAACTCCCATTCCCATGCTGCCGCCCCATCTATTTCCCCATACTCTTCAAGCCCGATCCCTTCAGCTTGGGCGTCGCCGCCCTCGGAGTCGCCTTCACCGACCCGCTAAAAGGCGACTCGTTCCCCCTCCCAGAACCCCCAATCTTCCCCCACAACCTCTGCGCAGCAGGTGTAAGCCCCGGAGCCCCAACCTTAGGACTACTAGGAAACTTGGGCGCCGGCGTCCTCTCCACCTTCCCAGTCACCCCCAGCCTCGCGCTCGTTCTCTTGGATTGCGATATTCTCTCCACCATCCGATGATGCAGCGCCTCTCGTCCCCGCTGTTCCTGGATTTTGAACGGATTAGGTGTTGCATCCCCCGGACCAAGATTGATGACCGGTGCCTTTGATGATTTTGACCTCCTGACCGGTTCTGGCTCCGGCTCTTCATCGTCAACAAAAGCATAGCCGTTCACCCTTGGCGTTTCCCCTCCCGCGACGCTGCTAGCTTTAGTTTCCGTGTCACACGCTCTTCTCTTGCCGGCGATGGCGTTTCGGATTTCGGATAGAGTAGGTGATCCAGCCCGAGACCTATCTTCTTCACCTTCAGTGGTGATTTTCAGATTTGGGCCCGGCACTCTTGTGTTCTCGTAGACGACCCTCTTCTGATCCATTCTTGATTCCCTTTCTCTTCTTTCCGACACCGTCTCCACCCCTTCGATGCCAGCAGGCGTGAACATGAGCTCGTTTTGTGGCTTGAACTTCCATTGGTCTGGTGCTGCCGGGCGGTCAAAAGCATCCTGATCCATTATGGCGAGTCGGTCCTTTTTGAAGCCATCGTCTGTTAGACCCGTCGCGCCCCGTTGAGCGAGCAACTTGGCCTGCACCTCCTTTTGTTTAAGCTGTTGTTTTGAAGGTAGCTTGTTTCCAGTCCATAGCCAGGCGTATTTCTCGACGTGTTTTTGATTTTGTCTGTCGAGCAGCTTGTAAAAGGACTCGTTGTCTTCCGAGGTGTATTTCGACTGGAAGGCTGCAAGAGACATGTTGGTGTCCACATTTGTTGCCTTGTTGGTCGCGGCTGTTACCGAAGATGATGCGATCGAGGCAGGCGTGTCACCCACGAAATTCAGAGGTGTCTGACCCGTTGTTGTCTGCAAGGGCTGCCGCAAAGGAGTCGCGAGGTTTCGTCGTCGGCCAGGTGTCATAACTACTTGCTGGAGCCGGCGGCCAGCACTCGCAATCCACTCGTCATCTTTGGAATCCAGGGCATCGAGATATTCTTGCTGGGTCTCGCTCTCAAGCAGGCCGGGGAAGAAGTCGCGGGCGATGATGTGGGACAAGGCATCGGTGTAGGTATCCTCGTCCAGGACTCGCTTTGGTCGTTTGATGCGTTTTGCTCGAGGAGGTGGTGGCATCAGTTCTGTATCTGTCCGCTTGCGAACGAGCGCAGTGGACTGGGCTGGAGCGGAATCCATCGTGTATGCGTGATGCGACGTGGTGGTTGGTGACAGGGCTGTCAAGGTGTCAAGGTGTCAAGGTGTCAACGGTCGTGTTTGCGCAGTGTACTTTCTTGTGGCGTTTTGCGGTCGGTGGTCGGTCCTCACCTTTTGCCAAGCGGCCGTGTCTTGCCAAGGCTGTTCGGCGGGGGTGGGCAGCAAGGGGGGGGGGAAGCATGTAGATAAGGTGATAAGAAATGCCGACCATTTCACGAAGCCACGCACGAAAGCTACTGGCAAGAGAGAATAATGCAGTCATGAGCTCACCTTCTTCAACACCCTCCCAGAACCTCGGGAAAAGCGATACATCAAATCATATCTGCATTTGCCGGAGAGTTGCAGTTCGAGAGAACCTGTGGCCTGTGGGTTCGATGCCCGCGTGGATCCATCAGGTGCCCCACCCGTGATGCATGTCTCGAAAGAACCTTGCGGGCCAGGTCCTCTCACCTCAAGGAGCAAACATGGTGAAGGCACAGAAGAGGGCCTGGGAAGAAACAACGGCTTCGTTTTAGGGCTGGGGGATGCCAGGACGTGTAGCAGAAACTCAAAATCTCCAAAGCACAAATCGTACGAAAGCAGCCCGTCGAGATGCTAGCTGTCGGAATTTAGGCGCCTCAGGGACGCAGGTTGATGCGGGAGTCCTGGGTAGCCCTAGCTGACGGGAGCTGTTAGCTTTGATTGACCCCCATTGGCAGACGGGACCGGCGCTGAGCCTAGGCAAGAGTGTGGAGGGAGAGGTCATGATCATGTGTCTGCGTCATTTCATTGGCGCGCCGGCATCTGTCAAGTTTGCTTCGACGCATGCCTTTTAAGGTTGATGTGGATGGTATAAGTTAGGGAGGCCGAGCTCCGGGTACCAGTTGTCGTTTGGTTCTGAAGTTCACACATCGAGCGTGCAAAATATATTCTGGCAGCCTGCCCTGCCCTTTCTCCATCTTCTTCTTCTTCTTGACATTCAGCTGTGCTGTCCCCAAGAGTCCTGGTTTTCTTCCACTTCTTTTCTTTTGCTCGCGCTTGTTTCTCTCATGTTGTTCTTTCGGGCTTAGAAACTCAGCCCAGCCAATCTGCCTTTTGCTGGCAGCCTTGTCCGCCCTCCGCTCCACGCCTATTTTCTCGCCGAACGCTGCTCAAAAAGCAAAAAGGGGACTCCTTCCTTCCCAACAACCCCCCCCCCCCCTTTCAACTCATCTGAATGTCACCCGGGGCTGTACCGCCAGTGCAAATAGCCACAGGCAGGCCTTGGACTTGGACAGAAATCGCCGCTGTTATCAGCAAAAGCTCTCCCCTCTTATTATCTTTTTTTCTTCTGCTCCAGACGTTATTTCACCTAAACAGCAGAATGGGGAAAATGGTAGCTTTCTACGACCGAAAAGGCGGGCCAACCGTTGTCGAGTCGGAAAAGAAAATTGAAACCCCAGACCCGGAAGCGTCATGCCCTATCTGCACCGACCTAGTCGGCACAGAAAACCCAGAAGGCACGACAGAAACATGGAGTGAGCTACCTTGTGGACACCGGTTCGGAAGTCATTGCATCAAGCACTATCTTGGCATCGTGGCAGACAACCGTCCAACATGCCCGATTTGCCGCCAGAAAGCCTACCACTCCTGCGGACACCCGGTGCTCCCTATGCCATGCGTTGGTACGGTCTCAAAGCTGAGGAAGGCGACTACAAAACAAAAAACTGCACTCGGCGATCTGGGTTGGAAGAGTTGTGGGTATTGCGATCAGGCGAGGGTCCAGGCAGGGTACATGGTGAAGAGGAGCCGTCTATGGAGGCCTTTTCGATATATTGCCGACGCACTGAACCCTCGCCGGAGAAGAGAGAATCGTCGGCAGGCACCACAGTATCCCCCTTATGTGCCGGGACTATGGGGCCAGCCGGACCTGGCCAGAGCGAGGGATTCGGGATGGGAGAGGTGGTGGAAAGCACAAGCTCCACAGGAGGTATAACGGGATGAAGTGATGGACTGTGTATGATGACATGAGCGCAATATTGTGTACAAACGGGTTACGGATGAACGACCATGTGGGGGATATCTATGGAATTTTTTGGTAGGCGCGAGGGTACAGTTGCAACGAACTTGGATTCTGGTTTGGTTTTCTACGAAGGGCGCCGTTTGGCTGATTTCTTTTTAATTGTCATCGATAGACTACAGCTGGACGGGGGGGTTTATCTAGGCGGGGGGGCTAGGGAAGCATAGCGGGGCAGATCAGGAACCCCAGGTACTACCCCGCACTAGCTTTAGTGTGTGTACCATGGATGTAAGCTTGTGACCTGACACGACGCGACGGCACAACTTAATTGATTGCATCTCATCTCACATGTGTTACCTTTTTTCTGTGATGTGCCATTTATGAAAATTGAAAATGCGGTTCAAGACGGATCTCAAGAACATCAGGACTTTTTCAAGTAAATTACCACACCAAATTATTGCCCGCTGATTGCCATTTATGTGGGTTGTTGCTAACATGTTTCGCAGAGCTCGCCGCAGCGTTGAACTCCCTCGAGAAGATCGCCTGGATCCGTCTCGACGATGACACGGTCCGCTTCACCGTGATCCCAGAGGTGGGATCACAAGTCTGGGCGTATGTCCCCCCTTCCCCCCATTTACCCTCTACTAGCTAGCTAACGCCTCTATCTAGCTCCCTCTCAGCAGACCTAATCTTCGACAACTACCAACTCCAATCCAACGAACCAGCCAACACCATCAACCTCGAGCTCCCCCTCGCCCCCCTCCAACGAGCCCTCCGCTCCGCCATCAACTCCCACAACGCCAACCTCCGCCTCACAAAAAAGGACGGCGCCCCGATGTTATCGATGGTAATCCACACAATGACCAAAGACTCCGGGGGTCCCAACCCAGCAGCCCCTCATTCCAGACCCGCCGCCGACGACGACGACAATGACCCCTTCAACGACCCCTCCCCCTTCCCCACCGAACCCCTAGAACTCCAAATGAAACGAGAACGCGAAAAGATCATCACCCAGGACATCCCCGTCCGCGTCCTGCACCCAGACACAGTAGAAACAATCATGCAGCCCAAAGTCCGCGAGCCAGACGTCCACATCCAACTTCCCCCCCTCCTCCAGCTCAAAGCAATCTCCGATCGGTTCACCAAGCTTGCTTTGACTACCGCTTCTCCCTCCTCCTCTTCCCACAACAACATCGTGACCAAGGACCCAAAGTTGGAGTTATCAGCTAACATGCACGGCTCGTTGCGGCTACGGCTGAGAACTGACACGCTGGATATAACCTCTGTCTGGGACGGGCTGGAGAACCCTGAGCTGGATCCTAGTCAATTGGCGATGCCGCTCGAGGAGCACCCGAGTACGGTGTTTAGAGAGGCGGGGAGGGATAAGTGGGCTACTGTTAGGGTCGACGGGAAGGACTGGAGCAGGGTGTTGAGTGTGGGACGGCTGGAGGGGAGGGTTATCGCTTGTTTTAGCGACGAGCACGCTTTGATACTGTATGTCTACGTGCCGCATTCTAGCGGTGGGGTGGGGGGTGGGGTGGGGGGGATGGAGGATGTTGTTACTGTGAGTTTTTCCTCCATGAAGATCTTGAGACCGGGGGGTTGCTAACAGGCGGTAGTATTACGTCTCGTCTTTTAGTTCGTAAAGAGAATAGCAGCTGGATGGGATATCGGGTAATGATTTGCAGCGCGGCGTTATTTGCTGTCTAGGATTGCTTGGGGCCGGATAGCGACACAATGAAAAAAAGCGTTATTAATATCGAGAATGGGATAGACAGATAGATACACCTTAGTATGTATGACACAGCAAGACAGTATTTGCCATAATAAAACAGAGAATCCTGTGAACCCCATATATTCGCAACCCCAACCCACCAAACACCAGCAAAAAACCAAAAAGTTATTACACAAAAGGCTCAGCTTCTATAAATACAAAACAGTCAACTGTACAACCCACTGTACACCCCACCCCCTCCCCCCCCCGTTTTATTATACCCTTCTTTCATAAACCCCATAATGAGCGTATTCACATATCTCCCCCAACCCTTATTCCCATCCCAATCCTTTGATAATCCTCAATCAATCCTTCGTCATAACATCCACATACCTAGCGCTCTTCCTAGGCTTCTTTCCCTGCCCCGGCCTCCTCGGCCCCGCCGCACCCAACAAATCATCGATACTACTGCTATTGCTCAAGCTCTTCGCCGGTCCCGCACCCGCCATAGGCGGTCTCGCCCCACCACCAGGCGGCGCACTAGCAGTGCTAGTACTGCTCGCACTCCTCAACATGCCCACCGGCCCAGCAGGCGGCGCACTCAAACCAATCTCAGATCCCGACCCCGGCGGTGTCAGGTTCCCAACAGACGCAACCCTCGGAGGAGGCGCACTGGCCCTCCCCGGATCAGCCGCCCCCGGAGGAGGAAAAGACGGACTAGCCGTCGCAGACCTAGCACCACCACCCGGCGGTCCCGCCTTTGGAGGAGGAGGCGTCGCCTTCTTGGCTGTGTCCTCCCCAGAACTGTTCTTATTCACCCACCGCTTGAGCTCAGGGTCGTAATAGAAAGAATTGGCCTCGCCAAGCTTGGCACGGATGGGCTTGTTGGGTGTGCCGGCGGCTTCTTGCTGCTGGGGCATGGCGTCGGATTTCCTGCCGCCGAACCAGGAGCCGAAGCCCCATCCTTTCTTTTGCGCTTTGGCTGCTTCGGCGCGTTTGGCTGTGATATGGTCAGCGGTGTTATACTGGTGAAAAAGGGGGCGAAAGGGGGCCTACCATCTTCTTCAGCTGCCTTGCGGAACATCTCTGCGTTTTCCCTGTCTTTCTCTTCCTTGCTCTTCTCCGCTGGTGTCGATGATGATGGCTTCATGGGAGGGTAGTCATCATCGTCATCATCCATGAAACTCTTCTTCTTGTGCTTGGGCTTCTCATCACCAGACTTTTCGTCCTCGTTAGAGGGCGGGTCAGGCTGGTATGAGGGGGGTTCGTAGCTGTATGGTTGATACGAGGGAGGCTCATATCCGCCGTCGCCAGTAGTCTCCTCCGATGCAGGCTTCTCCTCCTCCTTTAGTGCCTCGTAAGCAGTGAACGATGGCGGCTCATATCCGTACGAGGGGGCCTGATAACCAGAGGTCCCAGCGGCCTCAGTCTTGGTTTCAAAGCCTTGCTTCTCAGAAGTGGGAGTGGGCAGATCACTGGCAGCATTCCCACCATTGATCGGCGCACCAGGATATCCATATGGTTGGTAGCCTGGTGTGGCTGCAGCGAGCTGAGCAGGCTGTTGCTGCACCGATGGACTGCGCGGCGACTCCCCAGCAGGGTTGTATCCACCGCCATATGGCGTGTACTGTTGAGCTGGGGAGGAGGTCCTCACCGGGCCGTATCCGGACTGCATGTCCAGAGACCTCCTGGGCAGCTCAACGGAACTCCGGTTATACTCGCCCGAGCTGCGCTCCATGGAAGTGCGTGGAGCGTACGGATTGCCAGCACCGGCCGCAGGCTGAGGCGGGCCTCCTGGCGCATAGCGAGAGGCAGCTCTGGTTGGCGGCGCCGAGGACATCACAGGCCCGTTGGAGACAGAGGCGACCGGCATACCGTAGCTGGGAATGGCAGCGCCAAACGTCTCCAGGTTGTTCGCAGATGGAGGCCGGCTAATAGACGGGGTACCTCCAGCAATTCGGCCAAACGGCCCGGATTCAGCTGCATCACCAGCAGCGCCCTGACCAGACTCATCATTGTCGTCACCAGCAACAAACTTGTTGAAGCGGTTCCACATCGAGTCCGAGACCTTGTTCATGCTTGGCTTGGGGATCCAGGAGTTGGACTCCTCCTTGGGGGCTGACTTCAGCCTCTTCATAAGATCCTCGACTGCATTTTCCAGGATGTGATGATGATACGGCGAGCGTTTGGTCTGTGCAGTGATCGACGCAGCAATGACCTCGCAGTACTGCAAAGCTTTATCTCTGAACCCGTATTCCGCCAGGGCATATGCATGCTGCAGCTTGTATGCGGCCAAGTGAGGATTCGAAATAACCACGTTCGAGTTCCCGGCAAGGCTTTGGCCATACTCGTACACTTCGCTCAACAAGAGAGGCTCAATCTCTTTGGCAAACTGCTCAGCCTGCCTCTTGTGGTCGGATCCAACCAGCACGAAGTGAGAGTTTGGATCGTCGAATCCGCCAAAGATGGTGTTGTGGCGTGCAAACATGAAGCAGATATGAGCGGCTTCAGCCCTTCCATATCCAGAAAGCAAGGTGCCGAGTGAGTTAATGGCCTTGGCATCGCCAACGCTCCTGTTGCTCAGGATGAGGCTGAGAGTTTCGCGCCACTTGTCAAGACCCTCCATAGCATCCTTGGAAGGCCCAAGTGATGGGTCCTTGGCAACGAGCTGAAGCCCAGCACGAGCATGAACGGGCACCAGCTCGTCAACAGTCTCATCGTGGTTTCCTGAGAGGACTTCATACAAGGCGGCAAGCGACTCATTGTTATGGCCAGGGAAGTTGACCTCCTTCTTCACAAACTCATGCGCAACCTGCTTATACAGGTTGGGAGCAAGGGCGTTGGCAAGAAGAAGAGCGTGACCCCACAGACGCTGATCAGCCGCGGCCCAGATAGCCTTCTCACTCTCGCCGCTGAGAAGATGTCGGCGGATGCTCTCAACAGTGGCCGAGTCGACGGAATCGGTCCGCATGGAGGTTGCGGGTGAATCGCTAAGCCCAAGAGAAGCGCCCCCGTTCAGGTACGGAACCGCGGCTTCTGTCGCAGGGGAGGGGGATAGCAAGTCTCTTACGGCCTTCTCAACGGCAGGGTTGCCTTCGAGAATACCGTCATGCTCGATGAAAACTCGCAGAATCTTCCACAAGAGAACCCGCTCAAACGCCCGCTTATCGTCATGAGCCAGATGGGATTGCATCCCAAAAGTGTTGGGCAAACCACGCTCGAGAGTTTCAATGCCCGCACTCAGCCAGGAGATAGCCTCCTTCTTCTTGGACTTGCCCTTGAGGGGACCGGGGAACTTGGTTAGGCGCTCCTCTAACGGGGCAATGTCCTTGGCGTTCTTGACCTTGACTTCTCCAGGACTACGCACAACTGACGGGACACTCTGGTTCATGCCATAGCGCGGCACCTCCTTGGGAAACATGGTGACCATTGAACCGCCAACGCCCCACGAAAGAAGAGGAGCGCCCCTCCATCTCTGCAGTGGATCATGCTCCCGCCCATCCGTAGGCGGAATGACATTCATGTTGAGCGAGAACCCTCTTGGGCGCGAGGAAGTCGAGGCAGGGGCAGCTGGGGCTGGCACTTGAGGGGCATATCCGGTGAGGTGAGGAGACGTAAGATCCTGGACCGATGATGGTCGAGGAAGCGGCTCGGCCTGTTTGGTGACCCTGTTGCCATAGAGTGCTCCTGGTGACTGTGTCTGTGACCTAGGTGGCGGAGCAAATTCGGGAGACATGACCAACGGACTGTGGGTAGACATTGCCCGCTTGGGAGGGGACAAGATGGCTTGGCCAGAGTGAGAAGAAGGGGGCGGCGTTTGTCTTGCTTGAAACGCTGATGGTGCATATTTCGACTCTGGAGGAGACATTGGAAGAGACGGCATCGCACGGCCAGGGGAGGACTGTTGTGCTGCGGATGGACCGTCTTCTTCCTCCACCTCCCGTGTTGGGGGCAAAGATGATACCCTTTGGAGCCTGGAATCGTGCATGGAGCTGACACTACGTCTCTCTGCCAAAGTGTTCTCAGCGAGATGAGTCGGCTGGTGTGGTCTAGATCGCTCATTGGTAATCTCGAAATGAGCCAACGGGCTTGAAGTACGGGGCTGGTGAGGCAATATAGGAGGCGCCGAAGCCGCGCTGTGTGGTGGGTAGGTACCACTGGCTTGTCGAGAGGGAGGAGCGGGGGAGAAGCGGCTCAAGGCCGGAGGAGGGACATGGCCATTCGGCTGTGGAGCACCAGGGGGGGCTGGAGAGTAGCGAGTCGAGGCTGCAGGCGCAGGTGCGGGAGCCAGGCCAGCACTGGAAGGCAAAGCAGCATAAGGATTGACCTTGGGGGGTGCCACTAGAGAAGGGAATTCCGACTGAGATCCGGGGGGGCTGAAAGGTCCCGGAGGCGGTGCCATTTGATGATTCACAGGAGGCGGAACAGCGTGGGGCGGCACTGATTGTGCCGGAGGCCCATATGGACTTGTTTGAGACGGAGATGGTAAGCCCTTATTGCGGGAGGCAGGACGAGGCTTCGTTGTGATGGGAAGATCCTCAAAGAAGGCCTCTTGTGGAGTCTTCTTTGCTGCTGCAGGAGCCTGACCTTGTGACGAGCCGCTGGAGCCAGGGCGCGCCAGACTGGGCCCAGCAAGACCGCTCGATGGCAGAGGAGAGGCCATGGGTTGACTCTGGTATAAGCTTGCGCTTCTTGGTGGTGGTGGGACAACCGGTCCGGGGGCAAGGGGGGCCGAGCTGTTTCTCTGAAGAGGCAAGGCGCTGGCGCGCTTCTTGGGTTTCACAACCTCCATTGGAAGATCATATGGTGATTGATACCCGCCCTTGCCTTTATCCACAAAGCTTTGGGCTTTGGGCTTCTCCTGTACAGGGAGTGGAGGGGCGCCATATCCAAAGTTTTGGGCTGGGGGAGCAGAGGCAGGTACCCCATATGGAGGTACAGCAGCGGGTGGAATAGTTGGGGCTGGTGGGAAATATGGATTCGCCTGGGTTGGGGTCCTAGATGTTCCAGTCGGCACATATGGGCTGACTACAGGAGCAGCTGCAGGTGACGGCTGGGGAAGATATTGGCTGGTAGCAACCGGCGCAGTAGGTGCTGGCTGATATCCTGGGGCTGCTGGCGCTTCCGTGCCTGTCTCGTCATCGAGCAGACTCTCGTCATCGCTGCCCAAGAATGCAGCTGCGTCCACCTCCTCTTTTGGCTCAGTATCGGACTCGAGGAGGAATTCTTCCTCTTCCTCATCACCAAACATCTCCTTCCACTTGGCATCAAGATCCTCTTGGGTTTCGGGCTTCGGCTCGTCCTGTGAAGCAGCCGGGGTCTCCTCCACCTTGAGTTCCTGGGTTTCTTGTGGTTGTGGCACCTCATCCTCAGCCTCTTCTTCCTCGACTGTCTCCTTCAATGGTTCGAAACCGTTATGTGCTGAGCCAACATTCAACGAGTTCAAGACATCCATTGTAGACTTGCGTTCCAGGGGTTGTGGCTCGAATGCATCCTGGTGTTCGGTCTCGTCCCCTTTGACATTGCTGAAAAAGTCGTCCTCCTCGCTTTCCCCATCCCCTCCGAACAAATCGTCTCCGGCGTCGTCGTTCTTCGCAGGCTGCGGCGCAGCTGGCTCAGCTGAAGGAATCAAGGCAAGTCCCTCATCGAACCTGGCCTCCTGAGCATCCTCGGCAGTCCCTGTGATGTTACCGCCAATATACTGGTGGTCATTCTGTTCGCCAAATTGGTTGTCAAAGCCTGCGTCGGCCGCATTTTCAGCGGCCTCTTCTTGTTCGATTTCTCTAATCAAGTCTTCGGCCTCAGTGGCAGGGAGAGCCTGCTCCAATTCTGGGGTTGGCTGCTGCTCCAAATGCGAGGTATTGGGGAACGAATTTGTCCTTCCTGTCTCTGGAAGGAACTTGGAAGGGTCGTGCTGGGCCGCAGGTGAGGTGATACTCCACTCGGGGTCATCGTCGTCGTTCCAGTTCATCTCCGAGGATACGGTTCGGGTAAAGGACATGGTGCTGAGGTGCTTGGAGGCATTGGTAGTTTCGGCCGCTGTTTCTTCAGCCTTCTCCTCAGAAGCAGGCTTCTCAGGAGCAGGTTCAACTGAATCCTCGACTGGCGCGGGTGCCGGTGCCGGTGCCGGTGCTGGCGCATCGTCCGTAGTCTTCTTCATCCAATCGGCATTTGAAGTCCCATAGTCCGGAAACCAAGCACCCGTGTCGTGGTCTTCTGAAGTTTCATGAACATGGCTCAGTTGCCGAGTCTCTCTGGCGGCTTCGGGTTGATTTTGCGGCGGCGGACTCGGTGTTGGACTCGAAGTAGCTTCTGTTGGGAGACTTGGAGGTGGTTCGGCAGCCAGATAATTGGGCATCATGGCGGGATGCCATGATGCCGTCGGCGCATCGGACGACATTGTGAGATTGATTAGAAGATGCGCTACTATGCGCAATGGCGCGGTGAAGAGAATAGAAGTACTATGGTTGAAGAATGCCGGTTAGCATCTCGTGAACACACGGCAACCAAGTCGCGTTTGGCGGAACCCTGCCGTTGTTGCCCCTGTCCCAAAACCCAAGCTGGAAAGGGGGGGCGAAGAAAAAAAAAATCACCTACTTAGTAGGTAGTATACAGCAAAAACCGGAGACTTAAAAGGCAGAAAAGGATTCTAGCAGCGAATCATCTTGTGTGGGACTGGATCCGAACAGAGGCAGTCAAGTCTCACTCCTGGTCTTGGTGCAAGTTGGCAAGACTGGCGATGGATGACGGAGGCGCTGCCACAAGCCAAAGGGAAACGCTGTCCTTACTGCAGGTGTGTTCCAGTGGCCCAGCTGCTTCTGTTAGGGCTGTACTTGCGGGAGCTGGCAAGACCCTGTGCCGCTTTCACGTGCACAGACAGTGACGCAGCCATGTGGGCCGTATTGCATTAACAGATACATAGCAGGACACCGCGATCTTCCGAGTCCCGTTACATTTATGCGCTAAACGGCTGCAGGTGCGCAACTGCATTCGTAACAGGACGTCCCAGTGTTGGCCAGCTGTGGCTTAGGTATTATTTTCAGGAAGAGCATTCGTCATTTTTGAGATTCGACATCTCTCTTATTATATATCCCATCTCTAGGTAGCAGCTTTTTGCTTTCTACTACAAGAACATAGAGAGTTTTAGAAAGGTTTGCCGTCTTTTTGCACTAAAGGGCAACGTATCCTCAAAACTGGCTCCGTTCAGCCCACACCCCCCCCCCCTCCGCTGGCAACACAAACTCAATAACCCTTTTTATGGAAGCTCTTTGTCGAGCACAAGACATGTCGATAGGAAGGAACTGGACGACACTGTTGCTACTCATTTTCTAGAAGGGAAGGCAGTTCCGACCAGCGGAAATCAGAACAGGAGGTCGTCTAAAATTTAAAAGCCAGTCCCTGGTACCCAACGCCTCTTTTGAGGGCCCGAATCTCATGCGGGAATGCCTCCCCCAAGCCAGTACCACCCGTCTGCTCCGCCAGACTCGCCGGACGACTCGGACTCCGAACTAGATCTCGATATCGAAGAACTCGACCCGACTCCCGCCTCTGGCTCGTCGCAGGCCAGTCAGCAGCCAAAACAAACCGAACGACGAGCTCCGAGGATAGCTTTGCGTACGCTTCGTATGGGTGGCCTACGTCGAGGGGCTAACCGGAATGGATACGGCGAGCTGGGACGCAGCCGGGCCGCAGGCGAGGAAGACGCCGAGGCGCTTCTCAGGGACGATGATGGAAACAACCCACGCTACTCCGATGCCAGCACGGGCGGGAGAGACGATGCCCCGCTGCTCAGCGAGCACGGCGGTGGTTCAGGCCCGCGGCGGCGACGACGATCTTTTGCTGCCGACACCCTTCGGGTTGGGAGACTCCGGCTGCCTAGTTTCATGTCGGGAACAGGCGCAGATCATGGCAAGGACAACCAAGAGGAAGAGGAAAAAGAAGAGGACGACCCATCGTCATCCAGACTGGTGGCTGTTGGCTCACGACAGGTAATACGGTTCCCACCAAACTCGATATCAAACGCCAAGTACACAGCGTGGAGCTTTTTGCCAGTGACGCTGTACAACGAGTTCTCCTTCTTCTTCAACATGTACTTTTTGTTGGTGGCCTTGTCGCAGATCATTCCGGCGCTGAGAATCGGTTATCTTTCCACGTACATTGCGCCATTAGCGTTTGTTTTGGTGATCACTCTGGGGAAGGAAGCCTATGATGATCTCGAGAGGAGGAGGAGAGACAATGAGGCCAACTCTGAATTGTATACGGTACTGCAGTTCGACGAACCAGGAGTGGGTAGCGCGAATCTTCGGTCAAGGAAAACACTCAAATCATCTCACGTACGGAAAGGTTCAAAACGTGCTATTCCACAAGGGGACAGACTGTCGGATATCAGAGAGGAGGAAGAGCAAATGGAGGCTGACGGCTCACACCGCTTCGCTTCGTCTCATGTTCATGAAATCAGCAAAAAGTCAAAGGATCTCAAGGTGGGCGATGTCCTGAAGCTCAGCAAGGGGCATCGTGTACCGGCTGATGTCATTGTTCTAAAGTGTCTTTCAAACGAAGCCGCGGCCCACCAAGGAGAGCCGGAAGCACCACCACCGAAAGAAGAGTCGCTACTGGTCGATCACCCTGTCGATCCTGGGCAGGGCAGCTCAAAGGATGTCGAGTCCGCTGCCGGAGGAGCTGCTGAGGGAAGCTCAAACGGAGAAACCTTTATCAGAACAGACCAGCTCGACGGTGAAACTGACTGGAAATTACGTCTTGCCTCTCCCCTCTCGCAAAACCTACCAATCGAGGAGCTTGTTCGCCTTCGCGTCACCGCTGGCAAGCCAGACAGAAAGGTCAACGAGTTCACCGGCACCTTGGAGCTGCTGCCCACACGGCAGGATGCTGTGAGCACCAACGCCTTTGCCAGCAGCGATGAGCAAGCCAAGGCAGCTCCCCTCTCCATCGACAACACCGCCTGGGCCAACACGGTCATTGCCTCACACGCCACCACCTTGGCGGTGGTAATCTACAGCGGTCCGCAAACCCGCTCCGCCCTGTCAACCTCGCCCTCCCGCTCGAAGACTGGCCTTCTCGAATACGAAATCAACTCGCTTACCAAAATCCTCTGCTTCCTCACCCTCGCCCTGTCCATCATCCTGGTCGCGGCGGAAGGTTTCGGTAACACAAAGACTGACGTGTGGTACATCAAGATTATGAAGTTTCTGGTCCTGTTCTCGACCATCGTGCCGATTTCCCTCCGTGTCAATCTCGACATGGGAAAATCGGTTTATTCATGGTTTATCCAGCGGGACCCCGGGATCCCGGGCGCGGTGGTGAGGACGTCGACGATACCGGAGGACTTGGGGAGGATCGAGTACCTCCTCAGCGACAAGACGGGGACATTGACGCAAAACGACATGGAGATGAAGAAGATTCATGTCGGGACGGTGTCGTATGCTAATGATGCGATGGACGAGGTGGCGGGGTATGTGAGGCAGGGGTTTAATCTTGGTGCTACGAATCTGAGCCAGGTGTCCAATCCGCCTTTGGCCACGCCGTCGAGCTCGAGCGCTGCGGGGGTGGGGGCTGGGGCTACGAGGCAGAGGAGGGAGATTGGGTCGAGGGTGAGGGATGTGGTGATGGCGCTGGCGCTGTGTCATAACGTTACGCCTACTACGGAGGAGGATGAGAGGACGGGGAGGATGGTTAATTCTTATCAGGCGAGCAGTCCGGATGAGATTGCGATTGTGAAGTGGACTGAGTCGGTTGGGCTGAGGTTGGCGTATCGGGACAGGAGGAGTATTGTTTTGGAGAGTACTGAGACGGGGAGGGTGGTGGTGAAGGTGAGGATATTGGACATTTTCCCTTTTACGAGCGAGGGGAAGAGGATGGGGATTGTGGTTAGGTTTGCCGAGAGGTTGAATGAGACAGGGGATGGGGATGGGGAGATTTGGTTTTATCAAAAGGGGGCGGATACGGTCATGACGGGGATTGTGGCGGCGAATGACTGGTTGGATGAGGAGACTGCGAATATGGCTAGGGAGGGGCTGAGGACGCTGGTGGTGGGGAGGAAGAGGTTGAGTAATGCGGAGTACAGGGAGTTTGAGCAGGAGTATAAGAGGGCGGCTTTGGCGATTAGTGGACGGGAGGCCGGGGTGCAGGGGGTGGTGGGCCGGTATCTGGAGCATGATTTGGAGTTGCTTGGGGTCACGGGGGTGGAGGATAAGCTGCAGAGGGATGTGAAGCCTAGTTTGGAGCTGTTGAGGAACGCGGGGATCAAGATTTGGATGCTGACGGGGGACAAGGTTGAGACGGCGAGGTGTGTGGGTGTGAGCAGTAAGCTGGTGGCGAGGGGGCAGTATATACATACTGTGGAGAAGTTGAGGAGGAAGGACAGCGCGCAGGAGCATATTGACTTTCTGAGGAGCAAGCCGGACAGCTGCTTGCTGATTGATGGGGAGAGTTTGGGGTTGTTTTTGACGCATTATCGGACCGAGTTTATCAGTGTGGCGGTGAAGTTGCCGACGGTTGTTGCTTGTCGGTGCTCGCCGACGCAAAAAGCGGAGGTGGCGAGGCTGATCAAGGAGTATACCAAGAAGAGGGTGTGCTGTATCGGGGATGGAGGGAATGATGTTAGTATGATTCAGGCGGCGGATGTAGGGGTTGGTATCGTTGGCAAGGAAGGACGACAGGCCAGTCTTGCGGCTGATTTCAGCATCGAGCAGTTTTGTCACTTGACCAAGCTGCTGGTGTGGCACGGGAGGAACTCGTACAAACGAAGCGCCAAGTTGGCCCAGTTTGTGATCCACAGAGGGTTGATCATTGCGGTGTGCCAGACAATGTTTAGCATCGCGGTCGACTTTGAGCCGTTGGGGTTGTACAAAGACTGGTTGATGGTCGGGTACGCCACCATCTACACGGCGGCACCGGTGCTGAGTCTTGTCCTGGACAAGGATGTGGACGAGGAGCTGGCGAACCTGTATCCGGAGCTGTACAAAGAATTGACCGAGGGCAGGAGCTTGAGCTACCGGACTTTTTTTGTGTGGGTGTTTGTGTCGATTTACCAGGGGTGTCTGATTCAGGGGTTGAGCCAGGTCTTGACCGAGGTGGACAGCCCGAGGATGGTGGCGGTTAGTTATACCGTGCTGGTGCTGAATGAGCTGTTGATGGTGGCGGTGGAGATTACGACGTGGCATTGGGTGATGGTGGTGTCGATTGTGGGCACGTTTTTGGTGTTTGTGGGAAGTGTGCCGTTTTTGGGAGGGTATTTTGATTTGGGGTTTTTGATGGAGGTGTAAGTTTTTCTTTCCTTGCTGTGTTTTTTGGGGGGAGGGGTCAGTGGCTAACAAGTACGGTAGGGGCTTTTACTGGAGAGTTGCGGCGATCCTGGCCATGAGCTTGATCCCAACTTGGGCGGCAAAGGTGATTCAACGGACTATGAAGCCGCCTTCTTACAGAAAGGTTCAGGGGATTTGAAGGGGGGAAGATAGGGATGAAGAAGCATGTGTGGTTGGTGCGGGCTTTGTCATTTACCTATTTAACTGCATTGGATGGCGTTTATGTGGGGAGAAAAAGGTTCCTAAATAGCTAGGAAGTTTCTCTTCATGTTCTACTCGTTAGAATTTTATGGCCATGTTGTGGTGACTGGTGCTCAACAAACAATATCTAGCATTAGATTCTTTCTGGTCCGCCACCCAAACCAAAAGTCTCTTGCTGGCCCCTCTACGTACCTCCTACATGGCATATAACCTGATCCAAGGTTACGTGATCCTGCTTGATTACAACTTCAACACAAGCCAATCGCTCGCCAAACTTGGGTACTTCTTCGCCAATTCCCCAATAACACCCCCAACCGGGCCCTGCCTCTCCTTGCCGTCAGCCCAATACTTTGGTCCAGCAAAGTGATTGTTGAAACCCTCGGGCCCAGACACCATAAGCAGATTCTTAAAGCTCGGCCTTCCAACAGGGCAGGCGCACTGCCGTCGTGGGTTCTCCCCATCAACCTTCTCATAGTCCTCACCCGCAGAAGTGATCAGGTGTTTTGAGGAGTGATAGTAGCAGTTGACATCGTCTTTTGACCGGGTTGATTCGGCCTTTGAAGAATTCCAAAACCATGACTTTCGCGGCGGTGTGATTTGCGTCTTGGCGACGATATCATTCGCGGTGATGAATCTCCCCTCCTCATCCACAACGCAAACATAGTTGATCTTCCCCCGAGACATTTCCTTCAGTTTCTCGAGAAGCTCAATGACAGGGTTGTCGGTCTTGATGTCCTCTTTTGACCGGTTGGCCCATAAAATGTCGACTTGGGGCATTTTCTTCAAGGTTTGTCCGTGTTCCCGGAAGAGGCTCCCGGCTGCTTGGAGGGCTGGTGCTATGCCTGTTCCGCCGGCGAGAAACACGACCCTTTTGGGCTCTTCCGCTTCCTTGTACCCCGCCCGGGCGACGACATTGAAGCTCTGGTGTGGTCCGCGTAGTTCAATGGTGTCCCCCACTTTTCTGCGGCTTAGCCAGCTGCTCACCTCCCCGCCTTCTGTTCTCCTGATCAGGAACTTGAACGTGGGGATGGATTGTTGTGGGGAGAAGAGACCCTTGAGCAGCTGGAAGAGTTCGATACGGCCGCGAGTGTCGTACTCGTTTGTAGCCCTAAGCACATCCAGCTCCGGCAAGGGGGTGTAATCTCGCGCGACTTGGAGTTCGGGCTGTTTGATCTCAACAGCCCAGGTACCCTCCCACGCAAGTTTGTGCTGGAGCGTCTCGAGCCATGCCAGCTTCCACTGGCTGGCGAGACCGCCCAGGCGTGATACAACCGGCTTGACGGTGACGATAAAGGCCGTAGGGGACACTTGTTGCCGGTCAACAATCTCAAATGGTGAAAACTTCTGGTCGTTGAGTGGCTCGGTGCTGTAAGCAAACCTCCACATCTCCCATAAGACGAGGGCACCGGCCGAGGCAACTCCGGAAAAGAAAATCTTGCGGACGACATTCGAACTCTGCTCTGACCGGCTCTTCTCCTCTTTTGCTGGGTTTTCTGTTTCTAGGCCTAGTTGTTCTTTGACCAGTCGTTTGAGCTCTTGCCTTTCCTGTTCCGCTCTCTCTTCCTCTTGTTTTTCCTGTTCTAGTCTTTCTTTCTCTTGTGCTTCTAGCTCTCGGATTTTTTGTTCCCGTTGTTCTAGGAGTATTTTCGTTCGCTCTCGCTTCACCTCCTTCCTGGTGACGCGTGGCTCCCCCTGGTCTTGGGCTGCGTTTGGCTCTGGGGTTGATTGTGGAGCATTTTTCTTCGACTTGGCAGCGGCGAATCTGGATTCATCTTTCTCCGACTTGGGGGAGTCAAATCTAGATTTTGCTGCCTGAGAAGGTGAGACATGAAATTGGCGATGCTGGGACCTTTGCCTGTATATTCTTTGTAATGTCTGTCGCTGAGCATGTGATGAGAGCGAGATCTTCATGAGGTCGAGTCTCCCATCTCCAGCAACGTATTTTGGCAGGCGTATGCCCGATGAGACGAGTCTTCCCGACATCTCCAGGGCATAAGATCGTGTACGGTAAAGTTGTTTTCTGTATCCGGGAGAAGGTCAAAGAACCAAAGACCAAGCGAGGTGAGTGTCAATGGAAGATGGGGGCCAGAATGAAAAAGGGTCCGTGCATATGCACCTATCCGATTCTAGACCCCGACAATGGAAACTGTCATATGCAGCCACTATATCTACGGACTACCTTACCAGCTCTGCCACATCAAAGTCGCAGAATCTTTCCATCCTGAGTGATACCTCCCCTAAAGAGCTCTTCTACCACCTTTCCCTGCAATATTGTCTCCTCCACGATGCCCTCAATATGTCTCGGCTCAACCCTCCCATACCAGATCCCATGACCAGCCAACGGATGCCGCACCCCATCCTTGGTTGTCTGGTTTGGAGGTATATAAATGATGACATTGCCCGCAAACTTATGTCCACCAATATGACTGATCAAGCCAATTCTGGCCGCCGTCTTGGCTCTTTCGTCCTTCTTCCCTTCCCCGTCTTCCAGGGCCTGAACTGTCTCGTCCACCTCCACCTCCACCGGCCCTGTAACCACCTCGATGCCCTTCTCAGGCAGTCGTTTCTCAAACTCGCCCCTCAGCAGTGGCCCATAAGCACCACACCTCTGGTCCCGCCCTCCATGTCCACAGATGAGCACCACAACCTCATCGACGTCCTTGACACCGTACAGAGCGTTTTGATAGGCGGGTTTGCGAAGTAAACGGTCTCGGTGAATGGGTGACAGCCCGTCATGCAATGGGTGCAGCTTTTCAGGGAGGAGATAGCCCCTCACCAGTGCCTCAACGCTGTCAAATGAGACTCGCGGTAGCCAAGGGACATACTTGAATGAAGGGAGGAGGTAAGCTGACGTGGTTTGCAACTCAGGCCGTGATTTGGGAGCAGGCGATGAGGGGAATGAAGCGTTGAGGACTGAGATGTTATGGAACGGCTATGTTGTGACGATGGTTAATATCAGCGTGCAAGTGTGAGGCTCAAAAGGGGGGGGGGGGGAGGGGGAAATACATCATTGAACTGACCCCCACGTCCAACTAACTCACGCAGGTCAGCAGCGAGGTTATCACCACTGTTGTCGTCCTCAATACGGGACGGCCAGTCGTCTTTGCCCGTGCAAACCAGGACATGTTGCGCGTAGTTGGAAATCAGTCCATTGATATTTGTCTTGTGGTCAATTTCAAACCCCTCGGGGAACTCGGGGGTGGGTGCGCATGCACATGTTGGCGAGGGACATGTCGGCGTTGTCGGGAATGATGGTGGTGACTTCGCTTTGGTCGCAAACCCTCTCAGGGTTATTGGTCTGGCGCACACCTGAGCTACTCGTTGCAGTATCATGGCGAAGGAATGACTGGGCGGGTTGGACGTCTTGGCTGGTAAGACGCAGTTTGTAGTTGCATGATGACAGAGAGCTCCTTGGTGGATTATGTCTCAAGTATATTCGTAATCATATCCAAGTTCTTGTGAACCAAAGGTTTCGGTGCTATCAGGGTATGCATATACACGAAGACCCGATAGTAAAATATTTCACTTCACTAGGATACAGCTTCACCTCAACATGTGTAAACAACCAAAAGGGTGCTTTTGAAACTGTTGAATGTAGTCAGTTACTCAAAAATCTCATTATTGATTCTGAAATACCATCACCGATTCCGGGGTTGGTAGCTCAAAACTCTTCCTCTCACCTCACCAGCAGCTCACTCATGTCAGTTCTCATCTTAGCCCAAATCACGATATCTATCTCACCAACACACCCAAGATCAAAATGCCCCGACTCGCACCATCTCTATTTCGACAAGCCCGGAAGCAAATATCACCCTTTGCTCCCCTGCTTCTGCCCGTCTGCCGAACCCTCGACTCAACCGCCAACGAACTCCGCTGGATAAAAGAGCACGTCAACTCAACCGATTCCCTCGTGCCCCGAAAGCTTGGAATATGGCAAGCCTGCCTCAAGCGGGAAAAGGGGATACCATTACAATACATCCTCGGCAACCAACCCTTCGGCCCCCTTGATATCCTCTGCAAACCAGGTGTTCTCATCCCACGGTATGCCCTCTTCACCCTTCCATCTTCCTTGGTACTTATATCCAAACTAACCCACCTTAAATGACCAGACCAGAAACCGAATCCATAATAACCCACCTCACCACCCTCCTCCCTTTTTCGTCCTCCCCCCTCAAAATCCTCGACCTCTGCACAGGAACAGGCTGCATCCCCCTTTTGATAGCCTCCCTCCTCCCGTCTACCAGCCAAACCCTCGGAGTCGACATCTCCCCCCTCGCCATCTCCCTCTCCCGCCAAAACCTCTCCCACAACATCTCCCTCTCCCACCTCCCCCTTTCCGCCTCCAAAAGCATAACCTTTACCAAATCCGACATTTTTTCTCCTTCCTTCCTCTCTTCCCTCCCCTTTTCCCCGGGAGAGTTAGACATCCTGACATCAAATCCCCCTTACATCTCCCCCGCTGGCTTCAACAAAAACACTGAACGTTCTGTCCGGTTTTACGAGCCTAAACTCGCTCTTGTTCCGGATGTGAACCTAGGAAAAGGGTATGATTGCCTGCCGGAGGATGTGTTTTATGCAAGATTGCTCGAGATTGTGAGTGTCCTCCAGCCGAAAAGGGTGCTTTTTGAGGTGGGGGATGTAGAGCAGGCGAGGAGGGTGGCGGAGATGGTTGTTAGGGGAGGGGAGCTGAAGAATTATGCGGGGACGGTGGAGATTTGGAGGGATGATCCTGAGGGGGAGGAAAAGGAGAGGATATCGCTGAGGAATAATGGGGAGGAGGTCGAGGTGAAGGGAAGGGGGAATGGGAGGGGGGTGTATTTTTGGAGGAAGGATTGTTGACAAGACCGTTGGGGAGGGGGTGGTTTGAGTGGTGGTGTGGTGTGGTTTGTTGAAGTGTTAATCCCACCATCCGATCTCGTTCCACAAAAGTCAAAATGATGATCGCAAACCGGTTGTTTATACTTAACCTCCTCATTTCCTCAATCTGCGGTGGACTTCCTTCCAGGACTGGAGGGTATCACGGAAGGTAGCCATCGTGGCACTTGCTCCCGAGGTAATGGAAGTCGCACCTTCCTCAGAAACACCCCATGCCTCACGGCAAGAGCAAGAGCAAGAGCAGGCAGGAGCAACCCATGGTTTATATATTAGGTTAACCATGCTCCTTCCAACAACCACCTACGCACTCATCCGGTAACTGGAATGGTCAGATGGCTCAGCGGGTAAGACGTAGGTGGCCCGGATCAGGCAACGAACAATGCCCCCTGGAAACAGGGCTCCATGGACGCCTGAGTTCGATTCCTCAGTGAGGCCCTATCTCTCAAGATGGCCTTCAAGAATATCGACCGACCCCCCCCAAATCAACAACAAACCCCCCCCCCCTCCACCCAACCGCGAAGCAAACCCTACCGAGGGTTTCGTAGCTGGCCACCTCTACGGAGCTGGCCGGTGAGCTTTTTGCTTCCTCTACACCCAGGAGAAGAAAGACCAAGAAATGATCATAATCTATCGCTCATTTATTTTGGTGTTACCACTCCATCAATACAATAAAATACAAGTCATCTTTTTCATCCCACATCACATGACAAAGTTCACCAACTTCCCACCCTTGACCACCACCACCTTCTTTGCTTTTCCAACATCAACACCCTCAAACTTCTTCCTCCCCTCCTCCGTCTTCAGGACCTCCCCAACAACCCACTCCCTCCTCTCCTCCTCTCCCAACCCCTCAGGCGGCACCGCAATCTCGGCCGCAAACTTCAACCTCCCATTCACCTGCACCGCACAAACCTGCTTCCTCGGCTGCAGCAAATCCACCGTCCCATCCGCGACCGGAAACCTCCCCTTCTCACTCTTAAAAATCGACGTCTCACCAGGATGAAGAACAGCCCAGCACTCCTCCGCAAAAGCAGGCGTAATCGGTGCCATCATCCTCACTAACCCCTCCACCGCCTCCCTCTTCACCCCATCCGGCACACCCTTCTCCTCCTCGACAATCACATTCGTCAAAATCATCAAATCCGACACCACCGTGTTCAGCGCGTAAACCTTTTCGTACGACCCCGTGACACTCTCAACAGTCTTTTGCACCTCCCTCCACACCCTCGCAGCTTTATCCCACTGTTGGAGTTCCTTTTCCTTCATCGTTCCCAATCTAGCCGCTTCTTGCTCAAAAAACTCCCTCACCGAGGCCGATGATGAGATAGTCGAAACCCGCTGAACAAGCTCCCAAACCCTCCCCAACCACCTCGTAACCCCCACAATCTTGTCCCCATCCCAATCCAGCACCTCACTAACCGGCGCCTGGAAAAGCATGTGCGCCCTTGTCGCATCTGCGCCGTGCAAGTTGATCACATCGGTAGGATCAACACCATTGTACTTGCTCTTGGACATCTTCTCATAACTCACCCCCGCCACCTCCCCCGTCCTCACAACCCTCGGTCTGGCCGGATCAGTGAGATCAACCTCGTCAGGCTTGAGGAATTTCCCCGTGGCAGGGTCAGTGTACGTCTTGCCGTGCACCATCCCCTGTGTAATCAACCGCTTGAACGGCTCCTGCACCCCTTCCGTCTCCCCAACCAGCGTCGAACCCATGAGAAACTTGTAAATAAACCTCGAGTACAAAAGGTGCAAGATGGCGTGCTCAATCCCGCCAATGTAGAGATCAACAGGCAGCATCTTCCTTGCCTTTTCCCTCGAAAACGGCACCTCATCGTTGTGGGGGTCGATAAACCTCGCAAAATACCAGCTCGAATCAACAAACGTATCCATCGTGTCCGTATCCCTCCTCGCCGGGCCGTGGCATTGAGGACAAGACGTATTCACCCACTCTTCCAGCGTCTCAAGCGGGTTACCCGTCTTTTTTCCAGCCCAGTGCTCATCCACCTCTGGCAACTCTACCGGTAGCTCCTCCTCCGGAACGGGCACCGCACCGCAAGAACCGCAGTGAATAATCGGGATCGGCGTCCCCCAGTACCTCTGCCTGCTGACCAACCAATCCCTCAACCGCCACTTCTCCACCGGCTTAGCCAGTTCAGCCTCTTCAAGAATACGCACGATCATCTCACCTGCTTCCTGAGAGGAACGACCCTTGAAGAGACCACTGTGGGCGGTCATAACGCCGTGGTCGATAAAAGGCTCGTTTGGCATGGCGGTGGTGGACTCATCCTCCGACGCGGCAAGGACGAACCGGACTGGCTCGTCTTTGTGGTGCGTTTTCCAAAACGAGTGATCCCTGATATCGTGGGCGGGGACGCCCATGACGGCGCCCTCGCCGTAGTCACCTAGGACGTAGGGGGCGACGTAGATGGGGACAGACCTCTTTGTCGCTTCGGGGGTCTCGTCGTGATAGGCTAGGGGGTTTACCGCGCGGATGTGGGGGAGGAGGTAGCCGACTTTGGAGTCGGGGGGTAAACCGGGGAGGATATCTAGAAACGCTTGCAGTTCTGGGTCTTTGGCTGCTAGCTGGGCTACGACTGGGTGGGTGGAGGCGAGGGCGAGGTACTGGACTCCGAAGAGGGTGTCGGGGCGGGAGGTGAAGACCTCGATGGCGGAGTGGGTGATGTGCTCAAAGGCCATGAGGGGGAACTTGATGGTTGCGCCGGTGGATTTGCCTAGCCAGTTCTTTTGCATGGTTAGGACTCGCTCGGGCCAGTTGTTGTCTTTGCTGAGGATTTCGAGGTCTTGGAGGAGGGAGTCTCTGAATTGGGAGATGCGGAGGAACCATTGTTTTAGTTTCCGCTTTTCGACTTTGGCGCCGGAACGCCAGGAGCAGCCGTTGGCGTCGACTTGCTCGTTAGCGAGGACAGTTTTGTCGACGGGGTCGTAGTTGACTTCTGCTTCGTCTTGGTAGGCTAGGCCTTGCTCGCGGAGGAGGAGGAAGATTTTTTGGGTGTGTTTGTAGAAGCTTGGGTCACAGGTTGCCAGTTCCTGGGGGGAAGGGTAGTCATGTCAGCCAGGTGGCCGGGTTCAAGGCTAGGTGCAAACGTACGCGAGACCAGTCCCAGGATCCATTCATGACGTCGAGCTGTTCCTTCATCTTGGCAATGTTGGACTTGGTCCAGGTGGCCGGGTCAATGCCTCTCTCGATAGCGGCATTTTCGGCCGGAAGTCCAAAGGCATCCCATCCCATTGGTAGCAAGACATCATGTCCTCGAAGGGAGTGAAACCTGGCGACAACATCGGCAATGGTGTAGACGCGGAGGTGCCCCAGATGTAAATACCCCGAAGGATATGGAAACATGGGAAGGACATATTTCTTTTCAGCTCCGTCGCTGGTCTTGGTGCTCTTCAAAGCTGCCCATCTCTGCCGCCATTTCTGATCCAAAGCTGGCAAGTCCAGTTTGGCATCGCTGTTGGCGTATCTATGGGCTGTGATGCTGAGGTATCGAATATCATCCCCAAAACGAGAGCATGAGAGAACGGAACGAAGAGCGCCCAGCCTGGGCAGAGCGCGGCCGATTGACCTCCCGTAGATCACGGTCATTTTGCTATCACATCGTTGGTGGGTCAAAAGATTAGAGAGAAGTCAGAAGTTGTGAGAGCTGCTTCAAGCTCTCTTGCGCCTGGAAGCGATTGCTCAGAGCTGCAGGAGCTCTCTCTGCCTGCAGGGGGCAGCTAGAAAAAATAAGTGGGGATTAGTTGATATCTTGGCGCCCCAGATCGGGCCCGGCAGTGAGAAATCTCAACGGCGTTTGCCGACGTCAAAGACCGTTGGAGGAACTGTTAGGAGAGTTGTGTTATCTGTCACACTTTGTATGGATTTGGCTATTAATTGCATCTTTGATAATTTGCTTTCACATTCCTCAGCAAAAGACAAGATCTGGATAGACTGGTCGTTTGTGTGCTACGTGAGATCCCAGCTCATACGATATAACCTCAACTTTCACCACCATCCTACACCTACGACCATACCCAACTGAAAGCACGGGATCCCGTCCGCTCTCCCCTAGTGAAACAGTTGAGGGCCGAACTAGTACTCAGGTGGGTGACCACTGGGGAATCCTCGGTGTTGTAGGTATTTTTTTCTGTATTTTTTGACTCCATTCTCGCTTCGTTGTCAAGCTCCATTGACAGTGCTTGGCATGGCGTAAGTCTCCACACAATAACGGGTCCAGCCCTTTGTCAAAACTGGGGTTTGGAGACGGCTGCGAGTGCCCTGAATAGGCTTTGTTCTTTTTTGCTCATGTTGTCCTCATCTGGAGTAAATGACAATGAACACTGAACCTGACATGATATCCGAGAAGAGCGAGTGGACTGAAACCCAGATATATACTCCCAGCAATGGTTCTCCAAGTTTTACAGATCTGTTGTGCACCCCTGCCAAGCCTTTTACGCCGGGGCTGCATATGCACGGGCCATACCCGGCCTTGGCTCTGGTTCCCATCTGCCAACCTGCCGCAACCCTTTCTCAAGCCTCCTGGAACTTCTCTCCTGGATCAAAGTCTAAAACTCGACCCTCAATATCGTTAATTTGCGGTCGACAAATCGTTTCCTTACACCGCACTTTCGACATCTCACAACCCCCTGACGAACTTTGCGCTGCATACACCTATTTAATCTACACACACCCAGAACGTCAGTGACGTCTGCGATCACTTTCCTTGGCCAACCCCATAGCGACCAAAGTCTTTACCGCCAAATCTCGTTTCGTCTCTCTCAACCTGTACTTCGATCGAGCGAAAACCAGAAATGGTCATTCTTCCGTCTCTAATTCCAAGGGTATAACAAAATAGTACCCCCGCAACAAACACACCGCACCGCATAAAACCCATCCGAGGCCGGGCGAGCAATGCCGCCATTATACTCCTCCGCCCCTCCACCCGGCGGCCGCGACTCTCTCGAACTAGCCTCCCTCGCCAGCTCTAGTCCAGGCGTCGATACAAGCGAGACCGACTCCCGACCTAGCATCTCGTCCTCTCGGCGTGCCTCCCTCGAACGAGACGATCCCCTCGACAGCGCAAACCCAGCTGTGCGCACCCGGCCAGACCGATCATACTCTGTAACTTCCAACTTTGATTTTGCCGCGAATTTGTTTCCGCTCTCTTCCACCACCGGCGCTGGGTATGCTCCTATAGGGGCGCCAACTTCGGCGAGGGATGTGAGCGGCGGGTTGGGCGGTGGGTCGCTGGAAAAGCACAAGACGTTGACGTACCTGAATGGCTTGTCGCTGATTGTTGGGTTGATTATTGGGTCGGGTATTTTCTCGTCGCCGAGTCAGGTCAACTCGAATGTTGGGTCGCCAGGGGCTGCGTTGATTGTGTGGGTGGTTGCTGGTGTGCTGGCGTGGACGGGCGGCGCAAGTTATGCAGAGCTGGGAGGCGCGATCCCATTAAACGGTGGCGCGCAGGTGTATCTCTCCAAGATCTTTGGGGAGTGCTCGGGGTTTCTGTTTACGTGGGTTGCTGTGTTGGTGTTGAAGCCTGGAAGCGCCGCTATTATCGCCATTATTATGGGCGAGTACCTCATCAGGGCGTTCATCGGCGCTGAGGCGGAGATGATTGATCCTTGGTTCAACAAGACGGTGGCATTGGTGGGGTTGAGTCTGGTCACATTTTTGAACTGCGTTTCGACGAGATTGGGGACGAGGTTGAACGATATGCTCATGTTTTTGAAGTTTGTTGCTTTGATCACAGTGACCATCATTGGTGTGGTGGTGGCGATTACTGGGTACTCGGCTTCGGGAACCACAGCGAATGTGGAATGGAAGGAGCGCGGATGGTTTGAGGGGACATCAACGGAGACGTCGGCCTGGGCTGTGGCGCTGTATGCTGGCCTCTGGGCGTATGACGGGTGGGATAATGCGAGTTCCCTCTCCTCCGTTCTGTTTACTCTTAGCTAACCAATTTATCAGACAAACTATGTTGTGGGTGAGTTCCGCAACGCCAGCCGAGATCTGCCGCGAGTGATCCATACCGCCATGCCCCTGGTCATCATCTCCTACGTCCTCGCCAACATCGCTTACTTCTTTGTCCTTCCTTTGGACGCCATCAACTCGACCAACACCGTTGCTGTCATGTTTGGATCGAAAGTCTTTGGATCCATTGGCTCTTTAGTCCTAGCTCTTATTGTCAGCGCCTCCTGCTTTGGCGCTCTCAACTCATCCACTTTCACTTCCAGCCGGCTCGTGTACGTAGCCGGAAAAGAAGGGTACATCCCCTCTGTATTCGGGCGCCTCGGAAATGGCACCGGCAGCCCAGACTCACTCTCAACAGTCAGGACAAGATCCTGGTTCAAGAAGAAGATGTCGAAACTCTTTGGCGATGAGGACACAGGGCTGTTTTTCACCCCTATCCCGGCGCTGATTCTGAACGCTGTCTTGACCGCCGCTTATATTCTCGTGGGCGAGTTCTCTACACTACTTACATTCTACGGCGTGGCGGGGTACACGTTTTATTTCATTACTGTGCTGGGACTCATTGTCCTACGAGTGAGAGAACCTACGCTGGAAAGACCATACAAGACGTGGATCACCACGCCTATCATCTTTTGCTGCGTCAGCCTGTTTTTGTTGAGCAGAGCTGTGTTTGCGCAGCCGTTGCAGACGCTGATAGTGATTGCGTTTGTGGTGGCGGGGGTGCCGGTGTATTTCTGGAGGGTTAGGGGGAGGGGGGCTCCAGATAGGAGTAGGATGAAGAGGGCTTTGAGTGAGGATGATGAGAGGCCGTGGTGGAAGTTTTGGGGGAGGTGATGACGGAGAATTTGATGATGTGACTGGATACCCAAAACATGAAAGCTTGATTAGGCACAATGAATGAGGGGCTCGGGACAATAGATGATTGTTGTCTGGTCCAGAAGATTTTGCGGTGCCGAAAAGTTCAGATGACTGGTGTGTAGCAAAACTGTTGATTAACCTTCCGTGCCACCATGCCCCGGATAGGGCCGTAGATGGGGGTGGCCGTGGCCGGGACCGGTGGGTGTGAGCGGGAGTGAAACTGTCGTGTGCATCACTGATTAAGGGGAAAGAAAAATGTTTGTGTCTGGGATGGACGGAACATGTCGGGAGATTTCCAAAACGTTTTTTGGATTTTTGCGGATTTCCCGAGGTTGGTTTTGTGTGACAGATCAACGAGGCGTGTTTCGACCTGGGATAGTGGGCGCGAGGGTAAATCGAAACGGGGACACGAGATCTTGGATAGATGTTTCCAGTAGTTTTGATTCTACACTTACGGTAAATAGCATGTTGGTCACCAACAAAGTACAGCATGGAAATGTTTCTAGGTCGACTGTTCATCGTTCTCTGGCAAAAAGGGGCTGATGTTCTGGGGCAGTCCCACTTTTCGTGTGTCAACGTCTGCTGCTCTCAACCCACCAAACTCCTATGTTGAACATGAGTTCTCTAAAATCAACAAAAATAGAACACTAGCTCGCTCTCTCCAGGCATATTTTCTCTCGGCAGTTGACCACCCCCCGCCTGTCAAACTGATATTGCGCGTCTTTTCCATCTAAACGCCACATTTTTACCCATGAAAACTGTGGCTTGTGGCTGTGCATCATTAGTCTACCCCACAAAACACACGGTTCACATGCCACAGCATGACGTCAGCCTCTTTCAACTACAACCCATACTCGTTCTCGGATCGACGAAACGGCGTCGTCATGCTGTCTTCTCACGGAATTTTTCACCTGATATTTTGGTGAGGTAGACAAACGGAAAGCCGAGCAATGTAGTGAGTGGGGGGATGGCCGTGGTCGGGGTTCTGGGTCTTTGACAGTGATGCAACAGGCCGCACCGCCGCTGGGTCGCTCCGATGCCCATGGGGATAAGGGCTCCCCGCATATGTGCGTGTACATACATACATACAATGGGGGTGAGGCAAAAAGTACACGGCCCCCGGGAGGGTGGTAGGTGGGTTGAGCTATCGGAGGGCCAGCTCGAGACAAGGCAGATGTCATCTCTTGGCTTTTGAGAAGATGGGACCCTTTAAGCGGTGCATTCCCACCCCCCTTTTCGTCCATCGAAAGGATTTTTTTGTTCAATTTTTGATCGAGCTATTTTGTGAAGTGTGATTGAACCTGCATTCTGCAGGAGCCAGACAACTGCCGAATTGTCATTGTTTTGTTTGCACCAACCAACAAACTTACATACCCAGGAACAACCAACAACCACAATGGGCGCCGCAAAAGGAACAGCCCTCAAAACCCTCCAGTTCCTCCTCCGCACCCTCCAGTTCTGCTGCGCGGCCCTCGTCCTGGCAGTCTACGCTTACTTCCTCGCCACTCTCAGCACCCACTCCCTCCCCATCGGGACCTTCGTCCGGGCAGTCCTCGGCATAGCCGGCGCAGCAACCGCTTACACAATCCTCGCTTTTCTGTTACTATGTTGCGCCCCGGGCCACCCATTCCCGAGCTTTCTGATGATGGTGCTTGATGTGGCGTTCATCCCCTGCTTTGGGTACATCGCCGGGGTGAACAGACACGGGGTAGGTAACTGCACGGGCGAGGTCGACACCGTGCTGGGGGTGGGGAATAGTTGGACTGAGAGGGGGGGTTTGCAGTATGGGACCGCGTGTGAGATGGAGAAGGCGGTTTTTTCGGTGGCTGTTGCTGCTTGGTGAGTTTTTTCCAACAGATATTGTTGTTGCTGCTGTTGTTGTTGTGTTTTCTCTTGTTACTCTTTTGCTCTTTTAGGTCGTGAAAAAAAGGAGACTGACACCCACAACCAAGCATCCTCTTCGCCCTCTCCTGCCTGGTAAACCTCGCCCTGGCCCGCCACCGCAAGAGAGAGAAACGGTTCGGACCGTCCCCCGCAAACGACTACACCGCCGGGTACGGCAAGAAAAAGAACCGTTTCAGCGCGCTGTTCGGTCGGAGAAGAGGCGGGCAACACCAAACAGATTTGGGGCCGGATCCGAACGCCCTGCCTGTTCACACCACGCCGGATGAGGTGAGGAATAGCTATGGGACTGATAACACCAGGGTGGCGAGCAACCAGGGGTATGGCGGGCTTGCAGCAGCTCAAAAGTATGAGCAGCAGACGCTGCATTCGCCTGGGGTAGCGAATGGCGATATGGGGTTGATGAACGGGAGTGGAAACGGGTATGCTAATAGTGGCAATGGGGTTGCCAACGGTAACACGTACGGGAACGGGCATACGTATGATGGGAGCGGTAATGGGTATGGGAATCTTCCGCCTCCGCAGCCAGCGGCGAGGTATTGGAACTCAAATACACACACGGGAGGCTATCGGGGGTGAGAGGAAACAGCATGGAAGTGTAAGATACGTCGGGCGAAAGAGTGTGCTGGGGTGATTTACGGCAAATATTGGGGGGGATTACTTTCGTTGCTCTCAAAAGCTCCATTTACTTTGTAAATTTACCAAGAAGGGATATTCTGGGGTTCGGGCAATTTGTACATATAGGTATTTTGCACATAACTCAAAATCAAGAGTCATTGCTCATCCACACAAGACCGTGAATATCAACTTCGTTGCGTTTTCTGCAGTCACATGGTATAATAGTTTAGACCCCAAGTATTAACACCTCGCTCAAGCATGCCCGCCTTTTTACTTGTTCTTTTCCTTCAACTTACTCAGAGCCAATATCCTCCGCTCTTCCCACTTCTCCCACCCAGCCTGACACAAGTCCTCCTCCACCACCAAGTCTCGTATCCTCAGCCACCTGGCAACAGGAAACTCCAACCCCCACGCCAACAACCCCGTCTCCCTCAACATATAAGTAACAGCAAACCAAGCCACCGCACTCACAGCCCCAGCCGCCGACCCAGCCAGCACCTGCTTAGGCGTATGATACCCAAGATAAATCCGACTCCAGGCCACCAAAACCGCCACAACCCCCGCAGCCAAGCTCACCACCGCCCTCTGCGCCCACGACCACGGCGTGTGGGAATACGCCTCCAAATGCGCATTCACAGCCCGCAACCCACCCTCCTTGTACCGTCTCGGCACGTCAACCAGCGCCGGCCCTTCTTCTTTTCCTTCTGCCTTTTCCTTCTGCATCTGCCCCTTTTTGATGTGGGACCTTGGCGGCCTGTGCCTGACCATGAGAAATAACCCCAGTGCTACCGCCCAAAAGACGGCGAATTGCGCGTGTGATGATGGCATGCCGTACCCCTTTCCACCGGTGCTGATGACGTGTTTTGGGCGTTCTTCTTTGATGAGGCGTTTGAGGACGAAGTTGATGAGTTCGCAGGTTAGTTGGCCGAGGAACATTAGGAGGACTTCGGCTTCGCGGGTGGACCAGAGGAGGGTGGCGTAGACGACGCAGAGGGCTTGGGGGACGAGGGCGAGGAAGGCGCAGAGGTGCGAGAGGGGGTCGTTGGGGTTCTGGTTTGTGTTAGTACTTGAGTGGTAAGGTTGACGAGTGGGAGATCACTAACGTAGTACACGTGGGTGAGGGATAGAGATGCGAGGGGGGTGATGTTGTCGGACATTTTGGCGGTTTGGTTGGTTCCCTTGAGAGACGAAAGAAAATATGTAAAGATGGGGTCCTATTGCCGCATTATTCAATTATTAAAAAGCTATCAAGGGCCGGCGTCCCGTGAATGGCACCTAGTTTGAATATAGCTATCCCCGAGAGAGACCTCGTTGAAGGCAGGTTTGATACTGTGCAAGTTCCAGAAGCTCTCGAACAAGCAACGAGCAGGTAACGTCAGCGTGTCTGTTTCAGGCTGGCTGGCCAATCGGCTCAGCCCGCTCGAGCAAGGGGGACCCTTTCTTCAGTGGGTGGGCTTGGGGAAAAGGCGGGGTGCCACAGCGCTGGGATGCCGGGTTGGCAACTGTGCAACGTCCAAGTCACCGAACGAGTCATCATCCATCTGCCGCGTCGTCCTCAACTTTCCACCCAACAACTACCTGTCGAAGAAAAAAAATAAAACAAGTATTTTGCCTCCCGGTTGATCTTTGGAGTCACCGTCCTTTGGTCCTTCTGGAACATGCGTCGTTTACCTCTGCTCGACCACTGGACTGCCATTCCGATGCCGTGCTGAGCCCACCACCCATCTGCAAACTTCAAGCCATTAATAATCTAAATCTACAAGACGAAGCGGGTCCTATTTATCTTGCGAAATATTTCCAAACGAAAGCCATACTTTTTCAGGCGCCGAGATTAATTGCTTGTCCGGAACCCCTCTTCTGTCACCTTCTAATCCACGACCGACCGCGATCATCACGGGCCTATTTTTAGCAAGCCGGACAGTCGCACAACAGCACGGAGAATAACTCATTTTGGACAAGGGGACAAAGACGGGTGGATTGGCGGAAGGGATAGTTTTCCGAATACATCAAGAGCTCGGTACCCATGGCAGAAACCGAGCGAGACACCGAGCTCCAGACTTTAGAGGCCATATTTCCAGAGATACAAACGCCCAACAAGGACGACCCTTATACCATCGCCCTCGAACTTCCCGTCACCCCCTCGAAGCCTGTCATTGTCTACTTTCCCACCGCTTCCAACGATGGTCCACCTCCAGATCCCACCGTTGGACGAGCCCCAAATGGCGTCAACCCCCATGCCGGCCCCGCCATAGCTGGTGGCGGCCAACAGGGCGAACCGCAAGTTGACTCCCATGAACTAGCCCACCTCCCATCGATACGGCTCGAACTTTCTTTCGGCCCCCGATACCCCCAGGAAGAACCTCCCAAGGTTAGCATTTCTACAAATCCGCCATGGCTTCCATCCGAAACGATCAAGAAGCTCCAGGATGACGGTCCGAGGCTATGGGAGGATATGGGCCGTGATATGGTCGGCTTCAGCTACATCGACCACATACAACAGGCGGCCGAGGAGATATTTGGACTGGTTGGTGACGGAGATGCGTTGGAGGTTGACCCGAGTCACAGGATTGCCATTCTCGATTACGACATCAGAGCCAGGAGAGCTGCTTTTGAGAAGGGGACCTTTGAGTGTGGTGTATGTCTGGATCCCAAAAAGGGCGCCTTTTGCCACAAAATGATGGACTGTGGGCACGTCTTTTGCGTCGAATGTCTCCAAGATTTTTACAACAGCGCCATCAAAGAGGGGAACTTGGCGGCAGTCAAATGTCCAGCACCCAACTGCGCCAAAGAGCGTGAAAAGTCACGGTCTCCCTCGGGTCGAAAGCGGAAAAAGCCAAAGGTCTTCATCAGCCCTAGCGAACTGCTCCAGATCCCCATCGACGAGAACACCGTCAGACGTTACGTGACGCTCAAATACAAGACCGAGCTCGAGTCGGACAAGAACACGATCTACTGTCCCCGTCAATGGTGCAACGGTGCCGCCAGGTCGAAGAGGCATAAACGACCTACCGGCCTCGAACTCGCCGACGCATCAGAAGACGACGAAAGCTCGACCTCTGAAGACGATGACGACGACGACGACGACAACGAAGAGATGCCCGAAGGTGAAGTCGGAAAGTCGAAACCGTACAACAAGACGGAGGACCTGCTGTCGATATGCGACACGTGCAGCTTTGCCTTTTGCAGCAGGTGCATGCAGTCGTGGCACGGGGAGTTTGTCGGCTGCCGGAGGCCAAAGGAGGAGCTGACGGCGGAGGAGCTGGCGACGATTGAGTACATGAAGGCGCACACCACCCCTTGTCCTACGTGTGCTGCCCCTGCGCAGAAGACGCACGGGTGCAACCACATGATTTGCTATCGGTGCCAGACGCACTTTTGCTACTTGTGCTCTGCGTGGTTGGATCCGGGGAATCCGTACCAGCATTTCAACACGGCGCCTGACGGGAGGGTGACGAGCTGTTTTATGAGGTTGTGGGAGCTGGAGTTGGGGGATGGGGCGGATGTGGGTTATGGGTTTGCGGGCGGGGGGGCGGGGAGGCCGGCGCCGCCGGTGGTGTTTGATGAGAGGGTTGAGCAGTTTATT